CCTCCTCCGCCGAGAGACCGAGGTGTGTCTAATGCAGGATGTGTGTTGGAAGAACGCGCGTCTTGCCCCTTCTGGACGCAAGCACAATGCGCCTCGAATACGTAAAATATTGATTCATTGCGAAAATATACAAATGCAATTATGCAGGGCAATGACCGCAGGCTACCGATTGCGGCAAAGAAGAACAGAGTGGTAGCCAAATAAACATATTTAGTCCAGATGTTACTTTTGCACGTGTAGTCAAAAAAAATCATAACCGTTTCCATTAATCTAAACGATGTGACAATGATGGCACCCTTATGATGGTACCTTGACCAGGTAAAATTGAACCAGAACATCTGCCTTTCGACGAATTGCGCGAAGGGTAAGCATTTGAAACGGGAACATTGTCAACGACTCAACTATGTCACAAACGAGAGTAATTAATTTTGAGATAGGAAAGATAACTTCGAGTGGAATAAGGATTAAAGAGGGAGGGATTAATTTTGTCTGGAAGACTTTTGTGACGAGGGTTAAGCTTATGGTAAACTCGCGTTGACACAAAACGAAAAACCAGCTTTAATAAAAGAGTCAAAAATTATTTGTATACGGTAAATACTGTATCAAAATTTAAACACAAAATATATTAGACAAAATAAAGAAATAAATAAATTTAACGGCACATTTAATCATGAAAAGAGATATTGTAACACGATGTTTTCCCAGACCTACGTCAATGTATATTTAATTGTCACCATTACCTATAATCACATATCAACAAGGACGATGCGATAATACCCGTTTACACAAACCAAAAAACAAATTTTTGCCATAACAGAGATGTTATGGCTTCGAACATTATATTCACACAGTAAAGTGTAAAAGAAAACAAATATGAACAACAAATTTTACGTATAAGGTACCGTTAAAACACTGTGAACGAGGTTAACTGAAAATTGCAGTCTATAAAAAAGAATTATCGGTGGACGATGGTCTGGATACGAATCAAGATCGCTCCTGACGACGTGTCCTTTGATCGCAACGAACCTCGAATTCGCCATAAATCCGTACGCGATGGACGGTCTCGCAGAGCATATTGGACGCGGTCCAAATTTAGGATGGCCATTTATATAGGGAGAAAACGGACGGCGACGGCGAGATCTGCAGAAGGGAATTTGCCGCTACCGGAACAGATTGAAAATGAACCAAATGGATCGTCGTGGTGATGAAATTGCGACTTATGGCTTCTAGATTTATGGACTTGTATTGATTGAATGGGCCTCTTCATAAAAGATTATAACCAATTTAGTTATTTCATAAGAGAAATAAAAAATATTACTAATATAAATGTATTGAATTAAGATTTAGTTTCCGTTTTAATGAATAGCAATTTTCCTAGTTATATTTTGCCGGACTTATAGTTCTGATCAAGATAAACAAGAAACTCTTAGTAACCCTAGGTCCTAAAAGTAGTGGTTCCGAATATATAAACAAAGTGTCTTGGTCTTCAAATGTTTATTTAATTGGGGAAAATACAAACAGAACATAAAAACTGAACATAAAATGCTTAAAGTAAATGCTCTAAATGACCTCCCTCCATTTGAAGACATGCTAGACATTTTTCGAAGACTCCTGGAGATTGGCGAATAGTCTCATAGGCGTTTTGTATTCTTTGCTGGAGATTAGTGATGGAACGGATAGTGATTTTGCGAAAAGCCGGATACGTAAGCCGGATATCCGGTTATCCGGCATATCTATCCGGCCATTTCTGAAGTGATATTGCCACATTATTGCGATATTTGAATAAAAATGAAATTAATAAGAAAGCTGATAAGATATGTCCTTATTTGAACCAAATGTATCCAAATATGAACTTATTTGAATTCAAGATACAAAATGAACTTTTTTGATGCTGATTTAACTAACGAAGCAACTCTAAAAAGAGGATACTTTAATAATTGGCGATATTTCCACAAGGATCCTTCAAGAAATCAATTTTATAACGAATTTTGAAAGTTATCGATGAAAATGCAACATCGAAAATTTTATCAAAACTTCAAATATTGTTTGAAAATCGCAAAATTTTATAAATCAAAAATTTATTTCTTAAGAACTAAAAGTGATTTTTTAAAACGGCTTGTTGCATTAAAAAGAGGATACTTTAATTAATAATTGGTGATATTTCCACAAGAATCCTTGAAGAAATGAATTTTATAGCGAATTTTCAAAATTATCGATGAAAATTGCAACATCGAATATTTTATCAAAACTTCAAATATTGTTTTCTCAAAAACTAAAAGTTATTTTTCAAAACGTGTTGGTTCATTGGACAGAAGACACTTTTATTAACACTTTGGGAAATTTTCATACTCATATTCCAAGAACTGAATTTTATACGAATTTTTAAAACTTAATCGGCGAAAATTGCAAAATTCGAAAAATTTTTTGATCATTTCAAAAATTTATTTCTCAAAAACTAAAAGCGATTAACCTGGCTGGGCCCAGGCGTAACTAGACGTAGGCCTATAAAAAAATGGAAAGAAGATGAACTTGCAGCCGCACTTGAGAGTGATGATGATTCTGAAGGAAACTTATTCTCACCATCCTGCTCGGAATTTGAGATGGATGAAGTGGATCCTGAAACGTCAATTCAAGAGGAAGCTGTGCAAGAGGAAACACAAGAATGATAAGAAATACGTGTGGACAAATTACCACTTCATATACAGGTTTTAGGCTCAGAATCATACAAAATTGATGATTTTGATACACAAAATCAAGAAAGTGTAACTGACGCAGAAGTTTTGAGTGTTATTGTTCGCGAAACAAATGAAAATGCTGCAACTACTATTCAAAACAATCGACCAAGTCACTCGGCCAGAATCAATAAATGGGTGGATACCAATGAAGACGAAATGTGTAAGTTTTTTTGCTGTTCTTTTTTATAGGGGATTTGTAAAGTATCCTAAAATAGCTGATTATTAGTCCACCAGCATTTTATACAAAAATTGTATCATTCCAAAAGTAATGAGCAGAAATAGATTTCAACTATTGCTGAGATTCGTTCATTTGGCTGATAATTTGACGGCTGACAAAAGTGATAAGTTATACAAAGTTAGAAACCTAATTGACATGATGAAGGAACGATTCAATGACGAATATGTGCCTGGAGACATGATGAAACAATGATTTCTTTTCGTGGCCGATTATTATTCAGACAGTATATTCCCAACAAAAGCCACAAGTATGGAGTGAAAATGTTCAAGTTGTGCAATCCAATTGGTTATACATTTAAATCAGTTACTACACTGCAGTCTGCTGGACTTGCTGAAAGAGTTGTTATGGAACTTGCAGAGACATATTTATCTGAGGAAAGGCTTATAGTAGTGGATAACTTTTATACATCAGTGCCATTGGCAATTTTACTTTTGCAGAGAGATACCCATTTATTAGGTACTCTAAGGAAGAACAGGAAGTACTTACCAAAGGATATAATGAGAAAAAAACTTAAAAAAGGAGACGTGGTTGGTAAACAAAATTCGAAAGGAATTGTTGTTGGAAAGTGGAAGGAAAAACGCGATGTTTACTTACTAAGCACAAAACATACTTTGGAAAAGATGACAACTGGACGAAAAAACAGGTTGGGAGAGGAAGTTTGTAAGCCAGTTGCTGTTTTAGATTACAACAAGGGCAAGCAAGGGATAGACCTTTCAGACAAAATGTCAAGTTATTTTATGCCCTTGAGAAAAATCATCAGATGGTAATTAAAAAGTAGCTTTAGGTTCTATTGAATACTGCGGTAGTCAATCCGCTTTTCATTTACAATCATTTTCACAAAAGGATTTGCCTCATTCAGGGAGATGCTTGTGCTTGAGATGCTAGGTATTAAAAAGAATGACGTTACACCAAAACGTTCAGATTCCCTGAAGCACAGCTTAGTGTAAAGTGAAGAAAAGGATAATAACAATCGGCGAAAAAGAAGAAGATGTACAAATTGTTAAAAGAAGGACGTTCAGTGGCACAAAAACAAGGAAAATTAGTTTCCACAAGATGTCATGTTTGTGACAAGTATATGTGTTTTCCATGTTTTATACAACTTCATTGAAAATACAAAGATAATTTTTGTATTGAGTAATCCTGGTGATCCTCATGGTACTAAAGTAAAACAGTTGTTATTGCAGTGCCATAAGGATCACCGGTGAACTCACATATTTTTGCTTTCTACCCTCATATATACCATTTACATGTAAAAAAGATGTCGTTTTTCAAAAAAGAAAGTCTAGTGTACCATTCTTTTACAGTGGCCCCTAGGGAATTACTTAATTGGGTGGCAGCCAACATGTGGATTAGGAAGAATCGTTGGTCCTATTAATTGGTCACCAAGTATACCAAGCCAAACATTTACAGAAAACTTATTCTGGCTTCTTGATTGCAGAGCAGCGTGAGGACTTTCATCCGCTCAAACGTGAAAAATGCTCTTCTCGAAACGTAGTTAGGAGCGACAAGTTCTTGCACTCGTTGAACATGGTAAGGATACAATTGTTGCAAAATTCTCCAAACTAGAGAGGCATTAATGTTTAATGCAGCAGAGATCCTTCGTACACTAGTACCTAGATTTTTTTCAACCCTACTCAAAACATCTCTTCTAATGCAGGAGTATTCACAGATTGAGGTCGACCAGCATCGTGGTGAGTTGTTTTGAAAGAACCCACCATTAGCAGCAGCGTACATAAAGTGCATGTCTGCCATTTCTGCATTTGTGTATTCATTCATGCTTACATGAAATAAAAGCACCCAAGTACACCAGCGGAAGTGACGTGAGATCGACACGAGTGACATGTTTAGTTTTGCATGGGTAACACGACTAAACGACTATATCTCTGAAACAATTGATTTTAGGACCTAAGTTTACTAAGACTTTTTTGTTTGTTTTGATGAGAAGTATAAGTGGGTAAAATATCAGAACACAAACTTTAAACACCTGGTAGTTAATTTCTCTATATGGCTATAAATAACTGACTTACCTGCTTTTCCGTTAGGACTATACGGTCCAAGGTCCAAAGGATCATAACTCCCATTGGATCCTGGTGAAGGATACCCGTTCCCCATAATATAAGTCTGTTGTACCGGCGGCGACGCCGGACCTCCAACACTTCCCGCACCAATTGTCCCGGGACTAGCACCGCTATGCCAATCATCAGGACGCGGCCTTTTCGTGCCCGCGGTTATCCCGCCGAAAGCGCGATTGTTCCCGTTCATACCGTTACTGATGGGAAGGTTGGCGACGACGCCGTTGGCTACGATCGCCGCCGGCGTCGAGCTGCTGCTGCTGGGCAGCGTCGTCAGCAGGCCATTGCAGGGCCCCTGTTGAGGCTGCTGTTGGTGTGGTTGCTGGTGGCCGTTGCTAGCGCCATCAGCGCCGATCGTCGTCATAACAGCGGCGCCACCGCCTCCGCCTGACAAGAGGATCGTAGCGGCGGCACCCGCCGTGGATGTGCTGCCCGGTGACCGTTGCTCCGACTTGATCTGCAGCAGCACACCGTCCCTGTAGATCATTTCGCGTTTGACGTCCATCGTTTACACGTCGCTACATTGGGCGGTCGAGGGCGGGGGGTTTGGTTACCGTCGTGGGTCGAGGTGTGGCATATTATCACAATCTACAAAATAAAGCAAAACATTCAATTTTCCTGTATATCTATTAAAACATATCACATTGTATAAGTACAGGAACGAACCAGCGAATTTTACAACATTACTATTATTACGTTCAAGCAGCTACGGCAGACAAGATTAATTAACAATAACTGAATGTAGTCAAAATTGCTATATTTAATAGTGTAAAGAAAATTAAGAGCCAAGAGTCAAAACCTGTGTCTCCAAGCTTTCTGGGCAGATGTACTAACCGACAAAATCTGTAAATCTATTACACCTGATTTACACTTTAAAAGTTCCTATTTAATTCGTTTCTATTTTAAATTCTGGAGCCTTGCCAGTGAACTTACAAACTTCTTCAGGCAGTCTAAAACCTTGTTAGTGTAATTTCAGATTGATCTTTTAGTAAGAATTTCGATCAGTATAATTCCTAGCATTTTCTTAATGTTTCGATTTACGTTTATTTCTAACTTTTCATGCCACGTTCTGGAGACTGATTCAGATAATTTCAAACATTTCTTCCAGTTTGGAAGTCAGTCAACGTAGGAGTCAGCACAGGAGTAGTCTTGGCAAATGTAATTTTCACCTTTCTTTCGCAGTTGAAACTCGGTCAACATAATTCCTGATACTATTTTGCAGTTTTGAATCTAGCCACAATAATTCAATTCTTTTTTTTTCTATAAAATGCAAGGCCATTGCAGTACCAACCTTGTTTTTGAAGAATTCCAGACATTTTTTTGCAGTTGAAAATTGGTCAGAATCATTGGGTTGAAAACTAAAGTGTTGCCAGTGTTTCTCGACTTGTACATAAAGCTTTTCTAATGTAAATTCAGACTACTTCTTGTTCAATAAAATTAATTGGAATGGCCTACATTGCAACTGATACAAATACTAAGCTGATACAAAATCTTTGACATTTTACTGGGAAAACTTTAAACTACAAGAAATAATACGGAGTAGCAACGGCCAAATTACATATTAGAATAAGAAGTATGGTAATCATAAAGGCCAAACTCGAAATTATAAGAATAAGTTGGACCAATAGTCTAATATTTACACTGTCTGAACTCTATAACAAAGTGTGAAATAACTCAGTATACATTTCAGATATAAGAAGACGTCTGATACACACTACATTGATTATAGGTTGTAGACTACAAGAGAAAAAATCTGGCATTACCTGGGTTGCGCTTCAAATTTTAAGAAAATGTCTGAATTTACACCGATTAATCTCCTTGAAGTATGGGATTACACTAAGTCTAGGAGATTAATAATTAAGCGATTTTTACTTTTATCTAGCATCTTGAATAATCAACACTTGTTAAATATTGTTTTCGAATTCTTCAGCCACCCATAGTCAACGTAATTCTTGGTATTATTTTGCAGTTTTGAATCTGGCCACAATAATTTCATTCTTTTCTTTTCTATAAAATGCAAGGCTATTGCAGTACCAACCTTGTTTTTGAAGAAATCCAGACATTTTTTTGCAGTTCAAAATTGGTCAGAAACATTATGTTGAAAACTAAAGTTTTGTCAGTGTTTCTGGCTTTTGTACATAAAGTCTTTCCAATGTAAATTTAGCTTTTTTTTGCTTCTTTTTCAATAAAATTGATTGGAGTGGCCTATATTCCAACTGATACAAACTCTAAGCTGATACAAAATCATTGATATTTTACTGGTAAAACTTTAAACTGCAAGAAAAAGTATGGAGTAGCAACGGCCAAAATACATATTAGAATAAGAAGTATGGAATCATAAAGGCCAAACTCTAAATTATAAGAATAATTAATAATTAAACTAAGTCTAGGAGATTAATAATTAAGCGATTTTTACTTTTATCTAGCATCTTGAATAATCAACACTTGTTAAATATTGATTTCGAATTCTGCAATCTTCTTTAAACACGTATTTTAACATATCGACGCTTCCAAGCCAAAACGGCATAAACGACAAAATGGTCACTTTTTACTTAACTACACCGTTGAACAGGAATTTTAAATCTGCATCAAACAGTTTTGGCTTGGCAGCGTCGATGTATGCAACATTAAAAGTTTCGACAATATTTTCAGCACAAAATTTATCTTTATATATAATTTCATTTTTATATTCTTATCTCTAATTTTCAACGTGTATACACGGATACATATGTTTTGTTTACGATATGCTAGTAATGTGGTATAATCTGGAATTATATGTAAAACACATAGTTCTTTTCAGTGACTGGTTATTAGGTAGGGATTTTTCCATAAACCGTTTACAATGATTTTATCGCCTATATCCGTTACTTTACGGACGCACTGTATGTTAATTGTAATTCTTTAAACATAAACTGAAACAATAGCAATGGTGTAATTCATTGTATAACAGATTTCAACTTCGTCGGATTATAATCTATTTGTTTAGCTTCATTACTTCAAGTCTATTTTAAGGTAATCATCTTGTAATGTTCTTTCTACTTTGCATTAATAATTCATTCCTAACTACTCGAACCTATTCGAATAAAGTGGAAGGCATTCGGATTTATTGAGACCTGTTAGGAGCTATTTATGGGCAAATGGAAACCGTGGAGAACTATACAAAGTGTAAAAGTTATTAGCAGCAACTATTAGGAACTATCAAGTCTGAATGAAAGACATCGAGTGTCATTCGACGAAATTTCCTTCACACGCCATTACCATACTACGTGGTATAATTTGTCCTAATTTGTTTCAATATCGAAAAGGAATTCTGAATCGTTGATTACGCAATAAATTTGTTTGTACTAAGAACAAATAGATATAAGCACCAAAACTTAAATAGTGTAAGTCCTGAAAAACACAAAAATTCTTGTAGTCGTTGTTTTGATTTGAGATTTGTAAAAGTAATTGAAAGAGTGATTTATACCTAATTATATTGTTCCTTCTACCGAAATCTTGACGTTCAACTCCTCCTGAAAATTTCTGTTGTAAAATAATATTGGGATCCACTGGTAGCTAATAAGGGTCATTGAAAAAAAAAACTGCATTGTATTGTAGGCCAAGAGCAACCTTTCCAACTTTAGGTATAAAAGCAACTGAGAGTTAGTACAAACAAAAGATATTCGGAGCAATTGGTTACAAATGAGTTAGTAGTGGTCAGTTAATAAGGAGTGATAAAGCCTTTCTTTCTAACTATCGAACCCTGGTGGTTACTAAAAAGGCCGTCTATGAGATGGTTACAGATATCAGATCTGGCATTATTATACATGAAATACGAACGTGAGCACCTAATCGATTCCCTACAGCATTACAGTCATCAGATTCCTGATTTCAAAAAGTTTTCAAAAGTAAAATGTAAGAATGCCTTATAAAGAATCAGATTATCTCGCTGTAAGGGTATCTAATTAGAGTATTCCAGAGGTAACAACCTCGATGTACGAGGTATTCTTGAGATGCCTAATGAGATTGTTGAGAAATATTCATCATCAAGTGCTCCGTTGTTAAAAAATGTGTAAAACGTGTTTTATGATATTGTGTGCCTCACGAAAACTTGGTTCTGTATCCTGCAATTGGTTGTGGGAAATTTTTCCTTGACACCTTTGTTATGTTTCAACCTATGTTTGTACAGCAAAGAGTCTTTTCGCCAGTCTGTAAAACGCTGATTATGATGATGTATGCTTCACAAAAACGACTGTTAAGAATTATCAGTGAATCTAAGAAATGGAAACGTCGATCGATTACGCCATAGTTTTCATTTAATATGAGATTTCTCATTCAATATCTCATCCAACATTTCTCTTTCATTGATTTGCCGTTATCTCAAAAAGCGATGGTCCATTCTGCGAAAACAGATGGAAAGCTGATGTGTTCGCCAAGGTTAGACTTTATGATCTAAGTATCATGATTGTTGTACTTAAAACTCACCTTTTAGGGTTATTTTCTATAGTTTGATGGCAGTGATGATCTCATTAAAAACTGCTGCAACATGCTTATGGTGTCGATAACAATTTTGAATGATATGTTCATGGTTTATTATAGTCTTCTAAATAAGTCGTAAAGATTGTTTTGCTCTGTGAGCGTATTGGCCTTGCGCATTATTGCTAGTATAATTTTATTACTAAAAATGTTTTACTACGTCTTTTACAAACCGTTACATTTTTAACACTTCATTGGGGAGTTTTGAGTACTTTGAAAGCATATTTGACTTAACTAACATCAAATAAAGATAAATAATATGTACCTGCAGCTATTAGTAACTTTCCCCAAAACAAATATTTATCAATAAGTAATTATTATTTCGTCATTTCTTATTGAATTTGAAACAAAATTTGTACAAAAGTTATAATAAAACAGTAATAGTAATGAAATAGATTATAGTTTTCGTCTAGAAAATTCCATTTCGTAATGAAAAAAATATACAATTTAAACGAAAACCCAAGAAATAGAGAATATCAAGCGCTGAAGGTTTTATCACTTAAAAGGTCTTCCTCATTCTCCCTATTTCTTAGACTACAAGATTTATAGCTTTCCACCTATTTTGGTAAAACAGAAATTTGAATTTTGGCCAACTTTTAATGCGAAACATTGCATTATGCCTCGTTTAAAATAAATCATAAATGAGGTAGGTGTATACAATATCTATTTTTTCTGTAACGCATAAAAACCACTTATGAGGTGTCAAAAGCTTCTACAAACCATCGCAAAACTAAACAGTCGCAATGAGTTTTTCGCAGCTATTCTGTCGCATTAAAACATTGAGTATAGAAATAAATGCTGCTAGGAAAATGTCCTGCTAAAGTGTCGCGACACGTGCGAAATTGCAGTGAATTATTTACAGTCGCTATAATTTATGTCACCGTCACTGCAGTTTCTTATATTAAAATGACATCCACACTAAAAAAGTTAATGAATTGTCGGCAATGTGTCTAATATTAAATTATTAATGAAAATATTCGTATTAATTGTTATTGCGTTTTTTGTGCTGTTTATATTTCACGGATTAAGCCACTTTAGATAAAAATAATATCGTTTCATTTTGGAATCGTATA